TCTCAGCCTGCTCACGCCATTCCTCCCTTTCTCTTTGAGTATTCTCAAGTTGTTCACGCAAATCCTGTATCATTTTTTGAGTAGCTTCCTCACGCTTATGATATTCCTGCATAAACTTTTGGGATGCCTCCTCTCTCTCCCTATCACGCTCATACAGAGTCCTTTGTAAGTTGTCAAACTTCTCATTTATCATATTTGCCACCAGTGTTTGTAGAGCTATTTGGGAACTCTCTTCTGGATTGTTCATTATCTGATCTGACCCCTGATTATCAAGATTGGGAATTGAGATACCCATTGCCATTTTTCTTGTGTTTTTTCGGCTTACTCTGCCCATTTGAGATGAAAATAGCACCAGTTTTGTGCTAGAACACTATCTTAAGGCAACCATCAACCAACGTTTGCATTTATACAGTCAATAGTCTACAGATACAATCTAGTTCAACAGATACATCTATTCAACATCAAACAACTATATGTTAATGGGCTTCGAACCGCAGAGAAGAATTTGGGAAACCAGAGATTTTTAGGGTTAGGGAGAGATGTGGGTAAAAATTAGGAATAGATTGGTGTGGGGAGGCACAGGGAGAGTTAACTATGTCCTAATCTCAATGCAGGAAATAGGTTGGGTAGGATGCAAGTAGAGAGGGAGAGAAAAAGAAGAAAGGTAAAGGGAAATGAAAAGAGACCAGAAAAAAAAATTAGAAACGTAAAAATTAATATAGTTATGGAGATTGAAAGACCATCTATTTAGAGAGGAATGTGAATATAATGAGAAAACAGGAGGGAGATAGAGGAGATGTGAAAAACTTAAAAAATGCTTAAAATATTATATAGGTATAAAGAGGTAGTACTGCTATTAAGGAATTTAAGTCTCAGAGGTTTTGGATTGAGTAATAAATTTGTGGATTAAGTGTGTACACAATGGGGGATAGGGTCTACTAGTTAACTATGGGTTTATCAGGATGTGCAGGACAAGAGTTAAGTCACATACAGAAGAACAAAAGAAAGGAAAAGGTGAAAAGGATAAGAAAGGGAGAAAAAAAAAGATCAGAAGTTCAGTAGAGCTAGACAAAAAACAAAAAGATAATTAAGAAAGAAAGAAAAAGAGAGAGAAGACAAGAAAAGAAAGGAAAACGTACATTCACGTATTCCTAAAATAAAAATTATAAGAGGGAAAAAAAGTTACTGGAAAACAATTATTTTTTCAAAAAAGGCAAAAATTAAAGATTAATAAAAGTTTTAGAAAAGGAAAAAAAGATTTTATGTATATAAGGTACCAAAAAAAAAAAAGAAAGAAAAAAGAAAAGAAGAAAAAAAAGTTCTTTGATTTTTTTTTTTTTTTTGATTTTTTTTGGGAGGGGTGGGAAGAATCCTGTATCTCCCTTTTGTCTGTAACCAGCCTCTAGTTGGAGTCTCTGGTCAGCTTGAGGTCCTGTGGCTTGATTGGTTTCTTCAGTCAGTTTGTTCAAACAGGCAGAAAAATGCTCTGCTTTACCCAAGATTTTGAGATCCCCCTCCCAGGTTAGTTTAATGGGAGGGTGATCTGCTTTGAGAATCATAAAAGAGGGGTGATGAGGCTAGGTTCTGGTAGAGTTGAGGCCTTTCAACAAACAGTAGCTTTTCCCTGGGGCTATTTTGTGAAAAATTCACAGAGCCCACCCTGGAGCCATTCTCAGGGTTTCTGTTTTTCAATTGATTGTGGAGGCTGCTAGAGGGAGGGGCAGCCTCTGGCTCTGGTTACCCAGTGAGGAAAGCCACTCCAATGGCTGGTGCCTGAGCTGGGTGACTTTTCCCTGGATGGAGCTGAGTCTGGCAGGTCACTTCGCCGTTAAGTTCTTGTGACCTGTTAAATGACTCGTTTTATTCCAAGGCCTGAGTTGGAGCTAGCAGCTCCTCCGAGCTTTGTCGGTATCCAAGATGGAGATCACCGGTGCTGGGGGGGGAGGGGTGGCCTTCCCTCCTCTGCTCCCTGAGAAGGAGTGAGGAAGTCGGGCTTCTACTCACGCCGAGTCTTGGATTCTGGGTCGTCTCTGGTCTGCAAAGTGCAGGATGAAGTTGTCCGCTCCTTGTCGGTTCTTGCTGGTGTTGAGTAGAATCCTCTCGCCCGCTGCGTCTGGCTCCTTCGTCCTGGACTCTCTGTGTGAGCGCTCAGGTATGGCCGCGGCTGCGGTCGCCGCTGCGACCCTGCCGCCGCCGCCGCGGCTGCTGGCAGGCGCTCAGATGTGTCTCCTTGTCTTGGCTTTCCCTCTCTTGTCTAACTCTCTGTCCTGTGATGGCACACTTGGTGTGATTCTCTGGCTTAGGACTGTTCACTGGAACTCTAAAACTGCTTTCTATGCGAGAGCTTGTTCAGATTCCAGCTTCTCCTCCGCCATCTTCCCGGAACTCCGTTTTTGCCACTTTCTAAGTGCTGTTTTGATTTCCTTTTTCAAGTTTTTAAAGTTTTCATCATAGAGGTCCTTCACTTCTTTGGTTAAGTTAATTCCTAGGTATTTTATTTTTTTGTGGGGCTATTATGAATGGAATTGCTTTCCTAATTTCAGCCACACTATTCTCATTATTGATATACAGAAAAGCCATTTTATATTTTGCCAAAGTTTTGAATCAGCTTGAGTAATTTGGGAGTGGAGTCTATGGGATTCTTGAAATACAAGATCATATCATTTGCAAAGAGGGAGAGTTTTACTTCTTCTTTCCCTATTTGGATGCCCTTTATGTTTGCCTCTTGTCTTATTGCTGTAGCTAGACATTCTAATACTAGATTGAAGAGAAGTGGAGAGAGTGGACATCCTTGTCTTGTTCCTGAGTTAAGAGGAAATGGCTTTAGCTTTTCACCATTAAGTATAATGCTGGCTGTAGGTTTGTCATATACAGTCTTTATTGTATTGAGGAATGTTCCATGGATTCCTAATTTTTCCAGAACCTTCATCATAAAGGGATGTTTGATCTTGTCAAATGCTTTTTCTGCATCTATTGAGATAATCATGTGGTTCTTATCCTTGCTCCTGTTGATGTGATGAATTATATTATTTGATTTGTGTATATTGAACCAGATTTGCATCCCTGAAATGAATCCTGTTTGATCGTGGTGTATGATTTTTTGGATGAATTGTTGAAGTCGATTGACCAAAATTTTGTTGAGAAGTTTTGCATCAATGTTCATCAAAGAAATGGATCTATAGTTCTCTTTCTTTGATGAGTCCCTGCCTGGTTTTGGGATGAGGGTTATGATGCTTATTAGAATGAGGTCGATAGTGAACTTTCTCTTTCAATTTCATTGAAGAGTTGGAGGAGTATTGGTGTGAACTCTGCTTTGAAGGCCTTGTAGAATTCCATTGTGAAGCCATCTGGCCCTGGGCTTTTCTTAGATTGGAGGTCTCTTATTGCTGTTTCTATTTCAATACTTGATATGGGCCTGTTAAGATGACTTAACTCATCTTGGTTTAGTTTCGGCATGTGAATATTTGCTAGGAAAAGGTCCATTTCTGCCAAATTCTCAAACTTATTAGCAGAAAGTTTTGAGAAGTATTCCCTTATAATGTTCTGAATCTTGGTGGTTTCTGTGGTAACGTTTCATTCTCATCTCTGATATGATTTTTCTGATAAGATTTTCTAAGGGTCTGTCAATTTTGTTCATTTTTTCAAAGAATCAGCTCTTTGTTTTGTTGATTCTTTCTATGGTTTCTTTGGATTCTAATTCATTTAATTCTGATTTAATTTTAATTATTTCTTTCTGTCTACTGTATTAGGGTTTATCTTGCTGCTCTTTTTCAAGGAGACTCAGATGTCTCATTAAATTGTTGGTTTCAGATTTCTCCAATTTGTTGATGTAGGAGCTCAGAGCTATAAACTTGCCTCTGAGTACTGCCTTTGCTGTGTCCCAGAGGAGCTGGTAATTTGTGTGTTCAGTTTTGTTAAATATCATGAACATTTGAATTTCCTTTCTAATTTCTTCCATGACCCACTCGTGATTCAGCAGTGTGTTGTTCAGCCTCCATGTGTTACAGGACTTTCTTTGGTGGCTTTTGGTGTTGAGTTCTAATTTATTCCCTTGTGGAATGCAAGGTATAACTTCAATGTTTCTGAATTTGGACAAGTTTACTTTGTGGCCTAAAATGTGGTCTATTTTGGAAAATGTTTCATGTGCTACTGAGAAAAACGTGTATTCTGATACTGGTGCATGAAATATTTGGTCTGTTAAATCTAGTTGATCGATGCAGTTGTTTAGATCTGGGGTTTCTCTGTTGAGTTTTTGCTGAGTTGATCTATCTAGTGGGGAAAGTGGTGTGTTAAAGTCCCCAACAATTAATGTCTTTGGATGTATGTGGGATTTGAGGGAAAGTAGTGTTTCTTGGATAAATTTGGGTTCTCGGTTGCTTGGTGAATAGATATCTAGAATTGTAATATCCTCCTGAAGGAGAGATCCCTTAATTAGTATGTAGCGACCTTCTTTATCTCTTCTCACTACTTTTAATTTGACGTCTATTTTATCTGATATTAGGATTGCAACTTGCGCCTGTTTATGGGGGCCGTTTGCTTGGTAGATTTCCAACAATTCTGATCTCAGAGGTGTGCCAAAGATATTTTTTACTGAAGGAATGCTGAATTTATTTCCAGCTTTTATGCATTTATGATACCACCTTTGGATAGTCCTCATGCAAAATCAATAAATCCAGAGTTTTAAAAGTCACTTTGTTATTCCTTTATTCTTTTTTTTTTGTGTGTGTGTGTGTGTGCGGTTGTGGGGCCTGAACTCTGGGCCTGGGCACTGTCCCTCAGCTCTTCAGCTCAAGGTTAGCACTCTACAACTTGAGCCACAGTGCCACTTCCGGCTTTTTTTCCTGCTTATGTGGTGGTGAGGAATCGAACCCAGGGCCTCAAGCACGCAAGGCAAGCGCTCTACCACTAAGCCACCTTCCCAGCCCTATTTCTCTATTCTTTTTTCCTGAGTATTCAAAAAAAACTAAAATATTTTGCTCTCTTTTTCTTATTTGCTACAGCACACCGTAGCATCTGTGTGTTTGTTACACATGGTGGAATAAACAGTGTTAATGAGGCTATCCGGCATGGTGTACCATGGTGAGAATTCCAGTTAATGCAGACTAGCCCATAAACATGTTCCATGTAGAAGCAAAAAAACTTGGTGTCTCACTTTCAATGATCAACCTCACAGCAGAAACATTGGCTCTGAAAGTGAAACAAGTTATAGAAGACAAGAGGTGAGTAGCTGATCGCTAAGGCCAGATGCTATTCTAACACTTAAGGTAACAATATGTGTCTATTTTTCGGTAAGCTGAGTTTTACAGTTCATTGTTGTATGTGTATATGATGGAAAACGTTGACTTGTGTCCTCTGAGAGTAACACTAGGACAATTTAGGTGAAGTATTGAGAATAATTTTCTACATTATGGCTTTGATGATCCCAAACTCCACATACAGAGTCTCTTGGAGAATTTTGGTTTGCAGAGTCTGGATCCATCATGACATTCAGCTCTGACATCCAATGTGACCTTCTTAGAGAATTCATCTATGACAGCTCAGTAATTTCTTCTATCAACCCAATGACATCATTTTTTGTTAATGTTTCTTAAGGCTCACAATTACTTTATGTTTTCATGATAATGTCCCCCAACATTAACGAACAGAGAGCAATCTCCCAGAGAACAGCAGTGTGGTTCTCGTCTTAACACTCTGTTCTCAGTTCCAGCACAAGGGCTGTTACCAAGTAGGTAGTTAGTGAATGATGGAAGGTATGCTTCTATAAAAGAAGCCCAGTAACCTTCCAGGCAAAGTACTGCCAATCCGATACAGAGACCACATGTGAAGAGAAGGAAAAGCATTGTCTTCCTTATAACTAAGAGGAATTAGAACAATTACTGGAGTTTCAAGAGCATGATCTTAATACAGATCTCAAAGGTTCACATGCTACCTTGCATGTGGGAGACGTTAACAAAGTCTTGTTATAATGAATGAAACACGGACACGTAGCTTGAGGTTCTTAGGTCTAGGTTCTAGATCTTTTACATATATTACATCAAATGTAATTTTTCTGTTGTGTATACTAAGATTCCTTGAGCTGGCCCTGGTCTTTGCAGGCTGAGTCACTTGTAGAGTGTTGCACTTTTAGGATGAATTAGTGATCAATCATTGTATAGAAGTTTTATTGAATGTTTTCAAGGCCATACCAACAAAATTCCTTTGATAGCAACCTATGGAATTAGAAAGGGTAAAAGTGTGTGTGTGTGTGTGTGTGTGTGTGTGTGTGTGTGTGTGTGTGTGTGAGTGTGTGTGTGTGTATGCGCACACGTGCGCATGTGTGTGTGCCTCATGGTCACACATAGTGATGCCTCCTTATCTGTTTCTGCCAAACCAGGTACAAGTCTGCAGCGGTGGCAGCCAGCATCATCAGGCACTCCCAGCCCTTCACCCCCTGCCCAGCGCCTGGTGGGTTGGATCGACCACATCCTCCAGAATAAGGGTGCAGAGCACCTCAGGCCTTATACCTTACAGCAGCCGTGGACTGAGCTGCATCTGCTCAACATCTTCCTGTTCCTGCTGGGCTTCACTCTGGGTGTTCTGTGGCTTTGTGGGAAGCTGCTGATCCTGCTGACCAGGTGGCTAAAGGCAGCCAGGAAGCTGAAGAAGACATAATGCTTAGTATGGCCTAGCCATGACGGTGTTGGAGATTCTCTGGTTCTTTGCAGGCATCCCCTTTTCAAGCCCAGGGCACTCTGAGGTTCTCTCCTTTCCTCCACCTATTTTACAATTGGCTCCTCTTTATTATCTGCTTCTTAAAAAAATATTTATGCACCACATGGACTCCTTGAGTTGCTCCTTTTGATTTGGACCTCTCTGTGCAGACACAAATCTTCCCTAGCCAGCCCTGTGCGCTCCTTGCCCCCATGTTTTCTTCTTTTTGGCAAAGTGGGTTTCTTTTTTGGTTGTTGTTGTTGTTCTCTCTCTCTCTCTCTCTCTCTCTGTGCTGATACTAGGCCTTAAACTCAGAGCCAGGCTCTCTTGCTTGGCTTTATGCTCAAGACTGGTACTCTTCTATTTAAGCCACAGTTCTATTTCTGGCTTTTTGCTAGCTAACTGGACTTACAAGTATCCTGGACTTACCTACCTGAGCTAGCTTCAAACTAGGATTCTCAGATCTCAGCCTCCCAAGACCTGGCTGACACATGTTCTGACGACTGCATTCCCCCTGTCCAGATTACTTTTCAGTCTCTTTCCCTTTCTCCTTCTAGCACCTTACATAAAATACATATTTAACAAATTCTTACATTTTCCTCTGACCTGTTGCCTCTCTGAAGCTGTCCTCAAAGTTCCAGAAGCCTCCTCTGTTCTCCTCCACTCAGGAAGGAGCCCCTCCCATAGTATAAGGTTTAATTAAATGGACAAATAGGAAATAAAATAATGATCATGTTTACTTGGTAAAAATTGAAAGAAAATTTATGAAATATAGGAAGAGAAAATAATTGATATGTATCCGAAATGAAATATGAATTTCCTTAATATTTAATGAGATTAAAGAAACGATAGAGCTATCTACACTTTGAAGTAATTTTTTTGCTACAAAATATGGCAAGCTAGAGTGTGAAAATCTGACACATAATGAAGTTGAATGTTTTAGAGTAGAAAGAAAACAAAGAGGAAGAATCAACATATTTTGGAAGCCAAAGAGATTCGTGGAGCAAAGAATGTACCATGGTTGCTTGAGACTCCACAATTACTCTTTTATTTATTTATTTTTTAATCCCTCTCTCATTTTGCTCCCACTTTCTCTCCCTCCCAGGTTGTAAAGTTCATTTCCAACATATGTCTTGTGAGTATCTCTGTTACATTGGTTTGCCCTTTGTCCTTTGTCACAACACTTCGTTGTTCCCCTTCAGATAAATGTATATACAAGAAACAGGGTGCCAAAATAAAACACAGCGATAACAGGGGATAAAGCAAAGGGGAAAAATGAAAGAAAAAAGAAATAACTTCACATAGTACATCAAAAACAATAACAACAAAGAAAAATCCCTCTTATTTCCATATCTTGGAGTTCATTTCACTTAGCATCGTCTTATATAGTCATATGTACATATTGAGCTATTGTGATCCTCTGCTAGGACTATGCTAAACATACACAAACTACTACAAATGAAGGAAACTGTGGAGCCTATATTTCTTTGGTTCTAGCTTACTTCACTTAATAACATTTTTTCCAAGTCTTTCCATTTCTTTAAGAATGGGGCAATGTCATTCTTTCTGATGGAAGCATAGAATTCCATTGTGAATATATACCACATTTTTTTGATCCATTCATCTACTGAGGGGCACCTGGATTGGTTCCATATCTTAGCTATATGGTAAATAGTGCTGCAAAGACAAACAAGGCCATACTAAAGCTAACAGCACAATTATTCTTGACAGGAAGAATAAAGCAGAGAATCCCGTGAAAGAGGATGTATAGAATTCAGAAAGAATGGGCTGGAGACACAGGGAAGAGAATGAGCTGTCTATGCGTTTCTTCTTTAGATAGTGTTGTAGTGCAGTGATATGCCAATATTTTACATACCAGATCCATATTTAAATGACTAATAAACCTTTACAATGAAATGTGCACAGGAAGAAATTCAGTTCATTTTAAATGAACATACCTTAAAAACATAAAATTTAACAATCAACACTTAAACGAAAGCCATAACTATTATCCTAACATTAAAGGACTACAAAAGCCTGATGCTGGTGGCTCACGCCTGTAATCCTAGCTACTCAGGAGGTTGAGATCTGAGAACTGTGGTTCAAAGCCAGCCCAGGCAGAAAAGTCCATGAGACTCTTATCTCCAAGTAACCAGCAGAAAACTTGCTCAAACTGGTAGTCTTGAGCAAAAGAGCTCAGGGACAGTGCCCAGGCCCTGAGTTCAAGCCCTACAACAGACAAAAAAGAGGTACAAAATATGCCCACAGTTTATTGCATAGGTAATTCACAGTTGTTTGATTTGGCATATCAGAATCCATATTGTAGGCACAGGATTAAGCAAGTGAGTAAATAATTTGTTAGAAAGTCAGGTTTCTAGTTGTAAAAGAGAACAGTAGAAATCAATAATGTAACAATACAGGTGGTGTTTCTTTTTAGCTGAAGGTATCAGTATGAATTCATAATCTCACACAAAATTAAGAGGCTTGGTTTAGATAGAGATACAAATATTGGATCATTATATATTCCTATATATTATTTAAATCTGTCCATTGAATGAATAGAAAACCATAACGCTTCATTAACAAGGAGGAAACCTATATTGTGGTTTCTCAGCACCATTCTCCTTGAGAGAGAACCAATGTACCTTGGAAGAATTTAAGACTAGGACAGGGTAATATATAAGTGGAGCATCATGTATCAGGAAAGTAGAACTTGGTTGAAAAACAATGAACTTCCTCTGGGGCCAATCCAGCAAATATTGATAGCAATACATTTGTCTTACTGAAAGTACTAACAGTACTTACTAACAGTAAGTAAATAAATATGGAGAAATAATGATGTTAAAATGATTGGTATGCCACTATCCATGTCATAGCAAACGTGTTTGAGTATATATATGCATAAAATTGATTTCTGTGAGTATTAGAGCCAACTTTTTTTTTTTTTAAAGGTTCCACAACTGGGGCTGGGAAGGTGGCTCAGTGGTAGAGTGCTTGCCTTGCCTGCACGAGGCCCTGGGTTCAATTCTTCAGTACCACATAAGCAGAAAAAGCCAGAAGTGGCGCTGTGGCTCAAGTGGTAGAGAGCCTTGAGCTGAAGAGCTGAGGGACAGTGCCCGGGCCCAGAGCTCAGGCCCCACGACCAGTTAAAAAGGAAAAAAAAAAGCCCAATTGTCAGTCTGGGCACGATTGACATTTCAGCTTGACTGGTTCATGATAGAGCATAAATATGTGGACATCTGGTGAAATTTCTTACAGACCTAGCATGGTTCTCCTCCCTTGTCTCTTCTTGGAGTTGTACCTGATTTTTCTTTTTCTTTCCTTTTCTTTTCTCTTTCTTTCTTTCTTTCTTTCTTTCTTTCTTTCTTTCTTTCTTTCTTTCTTTCTTTCTTTCTTTCTTTCTTTCTTTCTTTCTTTCTTTCTTTCTTTCTTTCTTTCTTTCTTTCCTAATTTTCATCCAAATCTTCTGAGGAATGGGGTGATTTTGCTTTTGTGCTTTTGTTTCTTGGCCAGAAGGTACTTGATTGTGAAAGTCTTGTGAGAAGACCTGCTGAGAACCCCAGGCAGGCAGAGTAACATGATGGCGAACAAAAGCTGAAGAGCTGCCAACATTGGTTTTTTGTTTTTTGTTTTTGTTTTGATGGATTAGAACTCTGCTTTTTGTTAATTGCTGATTGGTGAAAACCAACATTTGGCATTTTGGAAATACCAAAACTTTTGTCTTACATTCCAGCTTATGGTTCCCCCCCAACTCACCAAACGGATTTCTGGAGCAGAGTGTAGAACTTTCTGTTATCTTTGTTTCTCCTTGAGGCAAAGGGAAATTCTGGTTTTGTTTGTTTTAGAGTTCTTTATAACAGCACTTTGTGAAGGCCCTAGACCAGTTTAGTCTCATCTTCTACAGAAAGCTAAATCTGGTTTGTGAACTCTTACTTTGTCTTTGAATTTGCTTTGCCTCTGCTTCCCAATATCATTTATACTAAAGGTTCAAAAGATAAGCCTGGTAAGCCAATGCCACAAAGAAAATCATTAGCCCTCTGTTTAGATTTCCTTCAGAGGACATGAATACATAGGTCCTGACTGCCATGTGTCACCCACCACAAGGTTTCTTGGAATGAAGAAAACTGAAGCAGGGAGGTTTTTAGGGTACAAAGTGTTCAAGGTAGTACAAGTATTGGCTTCCTCTAACCTCTATTGAGATCTCTCTTACCACTTTCCAGTCCTGGTCAGATGTCAGAAAAGTCTCAAAATCAATGTTGATATTTTCATTTGTGTGATCTGTGTGATACATGGATCACACAGATAAATAAGCAGTTCTTCATAACAACAATTGTTAAGGAGTCTTCATTTCAATTCGATTACCATGGAATTGTGAGCTCACAAGTTAGTCTATCTCCTAATTTTTAAAATTGATATTCACTCTTTCCTGGCTGGATTATTGCTCCCGTGTTGGGAGCCTGGTCTAGGATAAGAGATGGTTTGATAGAATTTGTAGTTCTTTGGAAAAACAAACTTCTCTTCCCTTAGGACATACCAGTGTTGTTCTAGAATGTATGCTGTCACACACTCTCATGGTTTTCCTGAAAAATCTCAATTAAGCCTAAATGTCTTGTCAAATACATTTCAGACTCAAGGATTTGGGATGCAATTATTGCTTCCTACATGCTTTTCCTTCTAATGACTGTGGTATAGACTCTCCTTTGAGTTCACACATTTCTATCTTCTATAATAACATAGAGTTCTAAAGAGAAAGATTCCAGAAATAGCTCAGAATATATCTATATATCTACATATGATTTGGGGTCCGGTCGTGGGGCCTGAACTCTGGGTCTGGGCATTGTCCCTCAGCTCTTCACCTCAAGGCTAGCCCTCTACCACTTGAGCCACAGAGCCACTTCCGGCTTTTTTCTCTTTTGCTTATGTGGTGCTGAGGAATCGAACCCAGGGCTTCATGCATGGAAGGCAAGCGCTCTACCACTGAGCCACCTTCCCAGCCCTATATGATTTGTTGAATGGAAACCATTTTCTACAAGTACTTAAAGGTATTATTGTTAAAATAAGCCTGAATGTAATTGTGACAAGGAGAAAAAAATAGCTCAGGTTATATAAATATTAAAATATACAAATATATAATATATACTAATTCTATTTTTAGTATATATTTAATATATATTTAGTATATGTTATATTTATATACTATGTATATTCTGTATATTTAGCATATATGCTATATGCTACATCTAATGTATTTTAAATATATTGTAGTGCTACATCTAATGTATTTTAAATATATTGTAGTATATAAACTATATAGTGTTATATAGTTAGCCTGTATATACTAATTATATAATATTTTTAGTCTCAATATACTAATTCTATATGCTATACATATATTTTATTGAATTGTTAGAGTTCCTTATAACTTCTGACATACTGGAGGTCAATCTCCTGTCAGGTTTTTTTCTCTATTGTTCCTTCATTTCAGACACCTTCTAGTAAGGTGGAAACCTATTTGTCTATTTTGGGCTTTTGGAATAATACCAAAAGTATCCTTGTCTATTCCAAAACTCTAAAATAGTTTCTTCTAATAGCTTCATAGTTTCAGGGCTTATATTTTGGTATTTAACCCATTTGAAGTTGATTTTTGTAACTGATAAGAGTTACAATTTTTTTTTGTAAAACTGAAGAGTTTCAGTTTTTTTATGTGTGGATAACCAGTCTTCCCAACATTATTTATTGAAAAGACTATCCTTCTTAAATGCATCTTCCTAGCACTTCAGTCAATAGTCAGTTGGCTGTAGCATAGGCTTGGGAGGATGTTTTTGTGATTGCTTTAGTTTTAAATGTTTTTTTTTTTATTGTGAAAATATCATACAGAGGGGCTACAATTACATGAGCAAGGCAATGAGTACATTTCTTATCAAGTATTGTTGCCTCCTCCTTTGTTTCCCTTTACCATCCCTGCCACCACCCCCCAACCCCTGCCAAAGTTGTAAAGTTTGTTTTTCAACATATGGACCCATTGCAACAATGAGATGTACAAGACATTATGTTGAAAAAAGAACAGTATCTTATGCACAGAACATCAGTGGTTTTGAATCAGATCAGTGCATTTCTCTCTCTCTCTCTCTCTCTGTATATATATATGTATTTCATGAGCTGAGCGGTCAAGCATGGCCATAGATGAAGACATGGGAGAGAATTAGATAAACAAGGTTTGTTTGCTCACAAGTCCTAGAGACAGGAGACATATTATATAGAGCCACATGGGAATGACATGAATGTGATCTCTAGGCAGAAGACAGGACTCAAGGGAAAGCATGCAGGACAGAACTTTTAATTGGTGTTTCTAATGGAAAGGCAGGGCAGTGTGAATAGTTCGTGAATGGTTAGTTTTGAACAAGTGGTTTTCTCTTGCCCCTCAGACTTATGTACTCTGTCAGAAATCTCCTCAACCTATATCATATTTATTAAGCTCAGGGATATTGCCTTTTTACCTCTAGGGAAGACTGATGTGTTAACAAGAATATATATTATCTTTTTCAGTGATCTGAGAAATCAGACACCACCCTTGTCTGAGGCTACACATATGGTAAAATGTAGAAGAGATGGTGGTACTCGGGTCTTTGCAATTCTGTTCTCTGTTTTTTATGTCATTGCTTCACAGTGGAAGGAACAGGGGCATGGAGTAGTGAGGGGAGGGAGACTGTCATATATACAAGGAAAGAAAGTATAATAAAGAAACTTTCCTTGCAGAGGGACATTTGGCCACCTTTTATTTAGCAAACTTACTGCCATGGAACAGTAGTTAAAAGAGAGAAGTGAAATGAGAAGAGCAAAAGCTAAGAAACAGGAGAAAGTCATGTTATGCGTGTGAGCCTAGAGAAAAATAGGAAGGCATTGAGTTATGTATAATTACCAGTGGCTGCTCCTGAGAATTTGATTTATCCCATGTGGTGATAACCTACCGTAGCAGTAAGCTGTCTGGAGATAATAGAAAGGTTAAGAAGGAACTACCTGAAAGATGGAAAAAAACTTGCTGAATGTTATTTTATAAAACACAAGAGAGCAAGTTTTGGTGCTGTTCTAGAAATCAATCGATAGCAAAACTTCCAGCTGGCTTTGCTCCCCTAGAGCAAACAACGTAGGCTTTCACAGTCACAGAGATTCCCTAGGCAACAAGAGCATAAACTTGAGCAGGGGAGAGACAACAGTAGAGATTGATAGTGAGCTGAGCCAGTTAGGTCGTGAGTCTGTAGCAGGCTGCTCAGGCCATCCAATTGGCACCGGGCGGGTCGGGGGCGGGGGGGGGGGGGGGGGGGGGGGGTGGGGGGGGTAGCCAAGCACACTTGAGAAAGGCAGGGGGAGGGGCAGACCGGGAGGGGACCAGATTCCCCAGATGCAGGTGGCAGCATCCATAGGTTCAGTTTGAAGCATCTGGTGGCCACAGGTTGGCATTGAAGGTAATTCAATCTTTTTAAAAAATTCATTCTGGGGACTTGATCCCTTTTAACTAAGTAGACGGTAGATGTTACTTTCTAAAATAAAACCTAAACATTGATGAGAGTTCTTGGACTTGGAAGGTAAAAATGGAGGTAGGGTAAACAAATTCTAGTGTTTTAAGATGCTGAGAATTGTTTGGAATACTTCCAGAGTTCTTTTGCATGAGAAAAGAGAAATCCTTTCATTTTCAGAGTCTGTGACTTGTTTCTGTTATGAGTAGTTGATATGCCAACAACAGGAATGTTAGCAGCATGACATTAGAATTCTAACTTCAAACTCTACTAGGCTTTCTGGAACTACGCATCAAGAGCACATAGGAGGCAAATAATTCACTGGATTTCTAAGTAGCTAGAAAATCAACAAGTAGACAAGTAACTCCAAAGGAAACAGGAAGAGATCACAAAATAGTTACTGAGCAAGTGTATTTAGTGACTAATAGATGCGAAAAGGCCAGTGACAGGCAGAGCTGTGGCTTTCGCTGCATCTATAAGAATGATGAAAGGGCTCTGAAATCACTGTTGGAGACTAAGCCTTTCTGCCTCTGAATAATGAATTTCCAAGTAACTTGGTTATTTCCAAGAGCATAGTCATTGAAAACAGGGGCATTTGGAAATGAGCCGTTTTCTCTTTCTTTTTTTGTATTGCTTTATTATGTTAGTTAGTGGTTTGTACTCAAGTCTCTGCCTACCATTCATAGTTAAGCATTTTGTTTTCTCTGCTTCTTTAAGATGTTGCATGTGGTAGGCTGACTTCACTCTAAATAGCCTGCCAGTCATTTCCTGGTGAAATCCCTAAGGGGAAGTGGGGAAGGAAAAGCAAGGTGATTGCTCCAGACAGCTTCTGAGCTGCCTGGTGTTCCCAAGGATGCTTAGTATCAGGAGAACCTGTGATCCTGGGCTTCTGTGTCTCATTAAGCTTGGGTTTTCATGTTGCATTTGCCCTTTACTATCATGCTGACAAGTTTTCTGACTCTTCTCTCCTTGTGGAAAGTGCTAGGGAGCCCTGTGGCGCTCATCCATCCTGTGTCCAGTCTATGTGTTCCTCAGCCCTCACCTCTACTCTAATCCTGGGAGTGTGACTTAGTATTCTCCCTGACATCCTAAGAAAGCCTGGCCCAGGGAAGGCTGTCCTGCTTTAATTGGGAGGGGCAAAACTGACAAAGCACCACAGAAGGAACATGTTTAAGGTTTATTACTTACAGATCCTGAGCAAGGAAGGGTGTAAGGAGCCAGAAGGGCAGTCTTATTGAGAAGGTTAGAAGAGGCAGAAATGAGAGTCAAGTCTTGGGGAGACAGAGGGGAAGGGAGGAAGATGAGGAGGAGGAAGAAGAGGAGGAGGGGAGCAGAAGGGGGAGTGGAAAGGAGAGAGGTAGGGCCAGGGGAAGGAGAGGAGAAGGTGGAGAGGAAGGGGTAGGGAGGTGGAGAGGAGGAAGGAGAAAGGACAAGGAAGGAGAAGGAAGAAGGAGGAGGAGAAAGGAAGGGGGAAGGGAGGAGTAAGGAAGGGGGAAGGGAAGAGGGAGGGAGGAGGAAAGAGGAAGGACAAAGGAAGGAGGATGAGGAGGAGGAGAAGGAGGAAGATGAAGGAAGAGTGGCAGGAAGAGGAGCAGAGAAGAGTAGAGAAAGCATGTAAGAGGAACAGTAGCATATATAAAGGAATAGGAATAAGACACTTGAAGACAAATATCTGGATGGGGCATTTTAATGAAGCAACCCCAGACTGCTACAGAGAGGCAGATAGCTCTGAGCTCACTTCCGCAGCCGTGGCTTGAACCATCTGAGTGGGATGTGAGCTGGAGCCTGTCTCAGGTGTGACATGGTAGGAGAAATCTAAACTTGTATTCAAAATGGATGCTGATATGACATAAAAAATGTAAGAATTCCCTTCAGGCCTCCCTCCTCCTGAGGCAGTGTTATGACTCCGAATCAAGGCTGAGCCAGTAGAGATGGGAGAGGCTGGGGCTCAGATGAGGGCTGGAGGGGAACAAAGAGTTTTCCACTTTCTCAGAACTAGTTTGAGGCTCTCCTAGTTGAGTCAGCAGCCTGCTCTCTGTGTTTTTTTTCCCTTTCTTCTTTTCACTTAGTAGATGGTTGTAAATTACATGACATTATTATAGTCCCTTTTTCTTGAGAATGGCCAATATAGTGGTAGAGGTATTTAACAATTACAGAAAGGCCTAAAAATTAGTCTTCAGGCAAAAATCATTACACGGTCTGGTGAAAATGGGCTTAATGGCATTAAGAGGCAAAGTAATCCTTTGGGGGAAAAAACCAGACTATTTAGCAAGAATTTGCTGATTTGGAGAAGCTTACATGATATCCTCAACAGGTTAGTAAGAAGAAGCACTTCCATTCCCCATCTCTACCCCTTCTGCCTCCTTTTTTGTGCTTCCGTTGACCTAAATCCCTCCCTCTCCTCATCCACACAGGGCAACTTTTCTCTCTTCAAGTTCACGGCGCTTCTGTTTCCTCGTGCATTTGAGCAATTGTATATTTTCTGAAAGAGAAAAGCAGAAGTATAACCTTGGAAAAACAAAAAGGGATAGGCAGTTTGAGAGATTCGGATGAAGCAATTCCTTTGTATTTTTACCGTAAGAGATTATAGAAGAGTTTTGTTTCGGGTTTCTAGTGTGTGCATCTATGATTCCTAATGTAGGCTCTTCAGTAATTAGACATATTTTTGAGTTTGCAGGTTGTTAGCTATGAATGGGGGGAGAGCGAGTGAGAGAGAGCGAGAGAGAGAGAAAGAGAAAAAGAGAGAGAGAAAGAGAGAGATAAAGAGAGAGAGAGAGAGAGAGAGAGAGAGAGAGAGAGAGAGACTGTTTAGTTTTGTTTTTTGCCACTAGGAGGAACCAAAGACATGCCAATAAAATACAAACCCCAGTTTTACATCTCTCTCCTCTTCCAAGGATCAGCTTAAATCTGTCTCAGACCTTTACCTTTGTGCATTCTTCAGCATTTCACATTCCATCCTTCAAGGACTCTTGCATTGCAGGCAGGCACAGAGCTTTGGTAGTGGTAGCCATCTGCACACTAGGATAGAGGAATGAGGTGACTTCAATGGCGAGCAGAGTCAGAGCCTCCTCTACCTTTACTGCTGACTCCTCCAGTCAGCCTCCACCGTCTTGAGGCCTTTGCTTTTCACTGCTCTGTGAGTGTTCTTTCCCATCTGCCATGGGGGATGGAGTGGGAAGTGTCAAGACAGCCAGGCTGTCAGGCCTACCCCTACCTCTCCCCCAACCTGCTGATTCAATCACTTGCCATTTTAAATGGCTCCATCTCTCTCTCTCTCTCTGTTCGCATCACCTAGAGTGCAGATTGGAGACAACACCATCCAGGCTTGCCGGTCCCACTTCCTGTGTGCTCTTCACGCCGTGTTTAATGGAGTCTCTTTCTTTTAATGCCAACAGTTCTTCCTTGTTAAGAACCATTGAGGTCCACCCATACAATGCCAGCCTCAGGTTCTTTGTGAAATGGTGCCTGTTTCCTCCTTCCACAAGATTCTGTTTCTGCTTCCAATTTTCCTTCCCAATCTCCACAACCTCTCATCCCTTCCTCTGTATCTCTAGCCTCCATATTAAAATCTTTGTACTTCTTCAATTATACTCGTCTAAGCCATTGCTGCATGTGCTGTCTAACGTATGCCACATTTTTAATCCTTTTACTGTCACAGCCTGCACTCCAATAACTATCATCTTCCATTGAAATTAATACTTAAATGCCTGCCTTTGAGCTGTCTTCACTCCACAGCAGTATTAGTTATAATTTTGTGATTTTTTTGCAGCTCAATAATGGAAGTTTATCATTCTCCCCAGGCTGTTAACTCTGTCTCTTCTCTTTGCCCCATACCTAACTTTGTGTGCATGTTTAGACAGTGTTTAGTCTCCGACATTTATTTAAGGAATGGGTTGAATGGCATTGCCGGCCATGGAAATACGCAGACACTGAGTCAACACTTGGCGGTGCTACAGCCACACATATCAGGGTGGAAGCGCTTTTCTGCTTGCACAAGCCTGGTGGAGGCACTCAGCACCATAAATGTCAGAGTCTCCTGCTGAGCAGTGTTGTGATGTTAGTGATGCATTTGAGGACAGGCTTGTGCCCCACAGCCTGTTGCGTCATATAAACTTTAGAGTTTTGAGTATTTTCCTTTACCAGAGATTTTACTTCCTCTAAAGTCCTAGTTCTTGCAATCTTTCGAGTTCAAATGGATTGACATCCCAAGCTATTCAACAAATTGCTTCCTGAGAATTCCAGCATACTGCCAGCTTCTGCCCTAGCCCAATGACTTAAAAACAGTACACAATACACAGTAGTCATTTGCTGATGAATTGAATGGCATTGATTTAAAGTGATGTCAAATGAGCTGGCAGGAAAGTAGGTACTTTTATTTGTTTGAATTTATCAGCTTAGATTTCATAGGCGTAGGCTACATGACCACTAGGTGGTCTCAATGTTAGAAGGCAGAGCAGATGAGAACACTGGACTCTCAGAGACTCATCTTCCTGGATGCTGTCTTGTTTACTTATGACAGAGCATCATCAGATTGCTCTTTGGACCTTTCTTAAACTATTTCAGAGACTTGGTGGGAATAGAAAGAATCCTGCTTAGGAATCAAAAGCCCAGGATTTGATGTTGGCCAGGAACTTGGGACAACTCATTTTACAAAACCACCCCACTGTTCCTGTGTGATTAAATGTGTTCCCTGAAGTTCATGTATTAGAAGTTGAAATTTTAAGTTCATAGGTTCCTGGTACTTGCAGATGGTGTCTTTGAGATATACATAGGGTTAGATGAGGTTAGAAGGTTGGGACTGATGGCAGAGAAAGTGAGACCTGCATCATCACACTTGCTCTGTGGTGTAGGTTGCTCACACGGTAGCTCGGTTGCCTCCATTCTGATGATTGCACAGCAAGAAAGCCCTGCAGGGCACCGCACAGGTATTTATGTCATGCTCTTGGACTTCCAAGTCTCCAGAATTATGAGCCAAATAAACTTCTCTATTTTGAAAAATAAATCACCTGTTTCAGGTATTTTGGTAGAGCAATAACACAGAGTCTAAGATAGTTTCCAGCTGTGCAAAATGAGGATGTATTCACAGAGGATTTTTAAAGGTTTTGCACTTTCAACACTCCGAAGTGCTAGGATCCATATTGTTGTCTGGCTGACTCAAGTTACCTGATTTTTCTAGGTCTTCTGATTAAATAAGTGGACACATTCATGGGATTAGTAGTTTCTGGAGCGATTTAAAGATCATCTAATCCAACCCTTCCATTGTTCAGGAGAAAAGTGGGTTTTAGACTCAGATGCTAGCAGGGGTGGGGTAAAGAGGCAGGATTAGAACTCAGCTCTCCAGCTTCCCAATTTCCACTGCTACAAGAGTTCTGGGGAAACAGAACTTCACATCTCTCACATTCACGTTTATATCTGAATGGTTCTAATACAACAAGCAAACTATGGCAAAAAATACTGTGTGTGTGTGTGTGTGTGTGTGTGTGAGAGAGAGAGAGAGAGAGAGAGAGAGAGAGAGAGAGAGAGAGAGAAAGAGGAGAAAGAAAGACAGAGAGAGGAAGAAAGACAGAGTAAGAGAGATAGAAAGAGACAGAGACAGAGATAGTTTTGTTTAATTTTTCCTATTCTTGAACCTTGTTAGGTGTTAATGTACTTGCCCGTGTTAATGTAACCTGCCAAGCAAGGTGGACATACTAGTAAAAAATCATCCATGTCTAAATATTGAGAGTTTCAGTGAAGCAGATACAGCAAAATAGTGTTTAGCTAAAGGAAGAAATAGGGTGAAGGGAATATAGAGAATTCTAAATAAGCAGATAGACTGTAAGTGAGAGTGTGAAGCAATTAGAGACTTACTTTGTATTGACTCATATTAATGATAGAAAATAGTTTATATGTCACTTCCATTTCATACATATACCGTGCTCTGTTCCAGTTTTCTCTGTCTAATATGGCCTCTTGCCATCCTCTGTCTCTCCTCCACCTAGTCCCTTTTCCTTCCCTATTATTATTTTTTGTATGGAGAGAGGAGGGCTTCAGAAATATGCAAACATACTGTGAAATAGCTATTCATTTAAAGCTGTTGTTCCAGCTAGAGAACACAGGACTAGTTAAGTAAGTAATAAATATGCCAGTCACACTATTAGCATAGTTACAAAATGGGAATTCTGGGAGATTTGAGACAATTTATGACAAAGAGAACTGTAAATTTCTTCCTTGGTAAGGCTGCCTAGCTTGTGGTGTCCCTGAGGCCTGAACTCCACTCATGTGCTGTGGATCCTCCTTCCAGATGTCCGGGACAGCGCGCCATGACCGAGAGATGGCAATCCGGTCCAAGAAAAAGCTCACCACAGCCACGGATCCTATTGAAAGCCTGCGATCGCAGTGCCTGGCCAGGGGCTCTGCAGGTATCAAAGGACTTGGCAGGTAGGATGGGGGTGGCCGGAAGAGGAAGTAGAATGGTGAAAACTGCTAGGAGAGGCTAATATCGCCTATGTGACCTTGGGCAAATCATGTCTCTTGTGACAGGTCTTTTTTTGGTCCCTGATTTATCAAAGCCTGTGTTGGTGGCCCCTGGGACCAAAAGGAGAAGTGTGTCTATGTAGTAGAGACACCTGGCAGGACAATGAGAGAGGCCATCTCTGAGGCTGGAGTGGAAGAGGAAGGAACAGCAGGTCAGCCATTGGAGACCCAGTTTGAGTTCTCCTGCACAGTCATGTCTCACCGCTGAGAGCCGTGGACTGCCTGTGGGATGACTGACAGTCACGGCTTGTAGGGCTCTCGTGGGAGTGAGTCCTATCCTCCAGCTCTCTGATAGTGTGAGTAGCTCTCAGGATTGAGAAACTCAAGAGAGAAGAGAACATGAGCCTAGGGAAAAACACCTGGGCAAAACCTGACTAAAATGAGGCCCTGTACATATTTTGACAGCTTCCTGAGTGAACAAGCGTCTCCATGGAGGACTTAGAATTAAGGAAATAAAATAATAAAAATAAACATCTAATAAAATAAACACCATTATTAGAAGCTATAGGCAAGGGAAGTACAGGATGCCAATGGCTGGGGCTTTCAAACTTGACCCAGAGGTGTGGGGAGAGCTTCACATCCAGCCAGAGGCTGATGGGATATCTCTGAATAGTCTCAAATCTCAGACTAAGCTTGGGTCTATCTGGCAGAGGCCCAGACTATGTATGCATAGACTCAGGGTCCAGGCTGTCACAGTGCAACTTGATGGAGGGAGGAGGGCTTCAGAACTTCAATATTGTATCATTCCTTGTACATCTCTTCAATACTGTATCACCCCAAGTTCTACCTCTTTCATCCTTAGTCCACCTCACTATAACTCTCTGAGAATCCCTACTTCGCCCTTCATTCCTGGTCTGTGCAATCAAATCCTTCTGGCTGCATGTGCCATCTCTACCTGATGGTGCTAATGTACCCTCACAGAATCTTAGCCCTCCATTGTAAGTAGGTATCATAGCCTTTTCATGAAATGTTCTCTCTGCCTCTGTCTTTCTGGTCTCTGCTTCCCTAAGTTTCTCCTCCACTCAAATGCGGGCATCTATTTCTCTCTGTCCCTACCTTTAGGGCTATTGAGAAGTAAATACTTCTTCAGTGTAACCCAAGATCTTGAGAAATATGACCTTTTTTTGGTTCATTTTCCCACTTCTTGCCAATTGTCTTTGAAGGACCTCTCTTCAGGTTACATACTATCAATTGCCAGCCCACAGGACATTCATTCTTCTGGGAAATGTTGGCTTGTAAATCTTCCCACCCTGTTTTGAGTCTTTATTCTGGCCAAGATCAGGATGACTGAAATCATTATTTTTGTACTTCATCTTTTTTTTTTGATATTGATATCTGGTGGTTTTCTACAGTACATGTTCTTTCTTAGTCATTGCCAATTGTCTGAGAAATATAGATATGTCCCCAGATTCTGTGCCTAGTATCTTTAATTCTTCAGATATTCTGCCCACTCTTGATTTAGCTCATCTTTACCACCTTGGCTCCTTTTATAGTCTTAACATTAAGTTCTCTCCTGAGCTCCAAACTCATTTCAGAATTTGTGTCTTTTAACTCAAAAGGTGACCAGCTAATAGCTTAACTCATTAGCTATCCAGTTAATACCTTCAATAGTTGCCTTACTTTCCAAAACAAAACAGAACCAAACAAAATCCATGGCCCCTTCCTGGAAACAGAGCTTTCTCCACAGCTTCTAAGCTTTCAATGGTATTACCACTCTTACAGAGCTGTGGGTTGAAAACTAGAGAATTATCTTCATCAACCTACCACACTGATGACTGTACATTTGCAGTATCTCATGATCTCATTTAAAATGTTTATCTCAATTGCTCACGTTAAGACACCCAGCATCATTTCCTGGACTAGTACTATAGTATTCTCACTGGTTCCATTGCTTTCAGTCTTCCAACTCATTCCTCTTTGCATGCCTAGGGTTTTCGTAGCTTTTAGTTTGGTAATGTCACTTTCCATGAAAACCATGCAGTAAACTTTTAAAAACTTAATAATAAAGCTCAAATTCTTTAGAATTTAAGGAGATTAAAATATTCTCTAGATTATTTTGTGGCCTCAAGTTTTCATATGAATTCTACTTTTTTCTTCCTCAGTGTCTACCCTCCAGTTCTTCAAGAAGCACTGCTGTTGTCCTGAAATTCATCCTTCTCTCTTCACACAAAGCTATTGATCATTCTTTTGAATTTTTTAGTCTCTCTGTCTCTCTCTGTCTCTCTCTCTTTTCTTTCTTACAGTAAGTTCCTTTAGGAACTTACTGTATATATATAGAGGCTGACTCTCTCTCTCTATAGTCTTATCCACCTATATATTCCTTCTCACAGGGCTTAGTCCAATTTTGGCACCTAATCAATGTTGAATTTTGTTGAATTATACAAGGGGTTTTAATAATTTATTATTTCAAACTTACTTCTGTTGTACTTGAAACCTATCAGTTCATTTCCTGAAGCAGTGCTGTTTTTCAATTTATTCATTCATTCAGCTAATTGATATTAATGAAGTGACTGCGGCTACATACTAAACACCTAGAAGTAATCTAAACAGTCATGGTTTCTAACTTTGTGGAGGCTATGCTTTAGTCTATAATGCACATATTCAAAGAGTCCTTTCTGTTTTTTTTTAAATGAAATGTGAAATGAAGTGATGAATGTCATTTTGATGTATGACTAACACAGAGAAAAGTATAAGTTGTGACTCAAAATTTATACATTATTGACTTTAGATAACTAAAGAATAACTGGTTCTCTTTTGTAGAAAAATGAGAGAGATTTAGAGAAGTTGAAAGCTATGAGTAAGACTATAACCCAGTTTTAGCAATAGATCTTGAAATCAAGGTGTGTTTTCTGCATCTTAATTGAAATCTTTCTACCTGTTAGAATGCCAGGAAAACAGAAAATCCCAGAACTGTGGAGAGGGTGGTAGTAGATGGTAGAGGAGAAGGAAATATTTAGCAAACAGTTAAGATCCTAACAGCGTAGGGCAAGATTGATGGAAGGACCCGAGACATTAAAATTAAACACAGAAGATAGTGATACAGGTGCCATGTGTTTGAAGGAGCCCAGGCATATTTGGATATTTGGATATCATGGAGCATGTTTCTAAGTGAGGCTTTCTTTAGCTAAAACAGCATCTATACATTTTATGTGCCCTGTAGAAATATATTTTAGAAAATAAGAGGCCATGTTTATATTCTATGCTAGGTTCTGGAGCCTTATCATGAAAAACATGGTAAGACAGGGTTTTCAAAATACTAACCTATATTTTCTGCTTTTTTAAATTGGGAGATGGGGAAATTTGGGATTTATGAACAAGGAGAGATGCCTGAAAAAATATTCCATGTGTTATTATTTCTCCAGCTTTGTAAAAAAAAAACCCAAATACTTCAGATAAACATCTTATAAGGAAGAAAAGTTCATTTTGGTTCATTGTTTCAGAGGTTTCCTTCCATAGTCAATTTGCTGCACTGAGTTTGGGCTTATGGCAAAGAATAACAACATGAAAGTGTGGTGGAGCAAATCTGCTTCTCTCATGGCAACTAGAAAGCAGAGAGGAAAACCAGGAAAGGGCTCAGGCTCCAATGTTCCCTTCAAGGACAAGCCCTCAAAGATCTAACTTGGTTCCACTAAGCTTTACCTCCTAAAGGCTGCATTATCTTACCTTAGCATCACAGGCTAGCGATCAAGACCTCAGCTCCTTGCCTGTAGGGTACAGTCAAGATAAAAACTATTGAATATGCCATGCAATTAAAATTCTATAGTGTAATTGTGTGTGTGTTTGTGTGTGTGTGTGTGTGTGTGAGTTTAGAGGTATGTTCTCCTTTATAATAGTTTTTCCAATTTAGCAGGAGAGAACAGAGAAGAGTTTAAGACTTCTATATTTTACATTTTAAAAAAGAAATCAAACCAAATCAAACTAAACCCAAACAAACAACAACAATAAAAATGAAACCAGGCACTGGTGGCTCAGGCCTGTAATTCTAGCTACACAGGAGGCTGAGATCTGAGGTTCCCAGTTTGAAACCAGCCTGGATAGGAAAGTCCATGAGACACTTAACTCCAATCAACCAACCAAAAGCCAGAAATGGAACTGTGACCCAAGTGGGAGAGCACCAGCCTTGATCAAAATAACTAAGGAACAGTGCCCATGTCCTTGAGTTCAAGCCTCAGGGTGGCACATACACTCAAAAGAAAACAGAAACAAAAACCTGAAAAGTGCTTTTCTTCTGAATCTGTATACTTCATTGGAGGGGGTCATTTATGTTCCTTTCTCATGTGTGTGTATGTTTTCCAGAGTGTTTCGAATTATGGATGACAATAACAACCGAACACTTGATTTCAAAGAATTTTTGAAAGGGTTAAATGATTATGCTGTAGTCATGGAAAAGGAAGAGGCAGAAGAACTTTTCCGGAGGTTTGATAAAGATGGAAGTGGAACAATAGACTTCAATGAATTCCTTCTCACACTAAGAGTAAGTGGCCCTGTGAATAATCAGTGTTATCTTCAGGGCTTGGTGTTCACATGGTGTGACTCGGGTAGTTTGAGGTTTTGTGTTTCAGAAGTTGTAAATACACTGTGGAGGAGATGGGGAGAAGACTGAACAGGCTGAAGGACTTTCCGAAGCAATTATAATGCATTTCCATTCAGAGGCATAGGAGTAATTTTCTGTCATTGAATGGAATAATATGTTCTATCACATATTATACAAGAAGAGCTCATTTACATGCATACAAATGTGATTTCCAATTTATCTAGCCTCCAATGTCCAGAGCCAGGAAAGAGGTAATTATGAAAGCTTTCAGAAAGCTAGACAAAACTGGAGATGGTGTTATAACAATTGAAGACCTTCGTGGGGTATATAATGTAAAACATCATCCAAAGTACCAAAATGGAGAATGGACAGAAGAACAAGTCTTCAGGAAATTTCTGGATAACTTTGATTCACCTTATGATAAAGATGGATTGGTAAGTGCAAGTTTACTCATGAAATTGCTTATACTGAACTTGAAATTTAAATGATAAATTGTTGGTTCAAAACATTTTAACCATCTCAACACATTTGATACTGGGTTCGTTACAAATAGAAGAATATATTTCTTTAGAAAACACCTAGAAATTCGAAAATTAAAGTAATAAAAACATATTTATCAAATACACAGACACAGACACATATGTTTGCTAGGGAATCCCTAGATATCAGGTGGAAATGTGGAATTTTGACTAGATTCTCCAATTACTTCCTGGTTACTGGATTCCTCCAGGTCAGCTAACTACATTACTATGAGTAGACTACACTCCAACATGTTGAGTTTTAATGAGATTGTAATTCAATTTGGGGAAACAGTGTCAAAAGGACTTTCTAAGTGTTTGGTGTCTTTTACATTTTTCTACCTGGGCGTCTCCTTATTTGAGCATCTATGCAAATACCTTTGAAAGGCAAGTTTGGGTAAAGGGAATGCCAGAGACAAGATTTACCTTGATTCATTCTTCAGTAGGATTTAAAATTAACTTGCATTTCTAAGTCACAGAGAACTTGGAAATAAAAACAACTACCCTATCTTCATTAGTCACTACCTTCGAGTTAACAAAAAATTTTGGATGGTAAGAGATTATAGCTCCATTATTCTGTCTAGGCAAAGATGAAAATATAAACTTTTACCAATATCCATAACATAAACACATCCATTTCTGCTGTTTAGAGACAAGAGAGTTATGATGACCATGGAAAGGTTCCTTTTTTAGTCTCATTCGTCAGCAACCTTGGGGTGGGTTACCTTTTAACCTTTTGGCCATACCAGTCAAGGTAAGTGGGACAGTAGACAGGAAGGGGACATGATTCTGGAAAGAAGAAATAAGCCTTCCCCTTCTAAAGGGAATTTCCCTCTATATTTCCTATGAAAGTTTATGAATAGTCCTGTCACTACAGGTGGGTTAGAAAGGTGACCTTTCTTTTCCAGTCAAGTGTGGAGAAGTATCCACTATTATAGGCTGTGGAATTCTGGAGGCAGATAAAAATGAAGAAAAGAGAGCCTAGATTTTGTAGGGAAGCCAAATGCTTCATACAGAAATAACAGAACTGTGTGGCCTTTGATCTTTAAGATGTCAGTGGAAAAATAGCCAACTGTCACTTCCCCTAACTAGCCCAATTCTCCATGGACCCTGGGTATCTTTGCTTCTGCAGGTGGTTCCTCCTCACTGCCCAGGGAAACCTCAGTTGCTCTTCTCTCTAACTCCAGTCAGAGTAGCCCTGATGAGTCAAGTTCCCAGTTCTCTCCCTTCTGACATTTCTCTTAATCAGCCACTTTGAACTCTTCCCTACTCATAAAGGTTACTGAGGTTTGTCACAGTGACAGCATTTGATATCATCTGAATCAAACACCTTAAAATAATGTCCAACTCTTTACAATGGTCATCAGCAGCATATATTGATAAATCAGATTGCTAGCTCTTCTGTGGAACCACAAAATCTGACACTATAAGGGGGGGTGGAACCCAATAATTTGCATATCTAGTACATAAGCCGGTTGGCTTTTATACACAATCATATTTAAGATCTTTAGTATTAAAATATTCAGAAAGATCTGTTTTAATGACTAAATACAATAACCTCATGTAGCATGATGATGAAACTTTGCAAAATTATTGACCCCTTACCAAGTAGGCATTGTGTGAAAAGACTCTACAGGACTGTCTCAATTAAAGGAGATAGTTAAAATGCTTATGAAAAATGATTCAAATACTTGCCTTTTTTATTGTGAAAATACCATACAGAGGGGTTACAATTACATGGGCAAGGTAATGAGTACATTTCTTATCAAGCATTGTTACCTCCTTACCTCTTCCTTTGTTTCCCCTTCCCATCTCTTCCCATCCTCCTGTGCCAAAATTGTAAAGTTAAAATATTTGTCTTTTTGAATCATATTTAAAACCCACCAGGGATTGTTGATGTAAAGGAACTGAAAAATTCTTTTAAAAAGCATAATTACCTTCTGTGCATGTATTATTGATTTGTATTTATAGACCCCTGGTAAACACACTATCACCATTGATTCAGCTCAATGTCTTTTTTTCCTAAAGTCTTCTGCTGTTTGACAAGATGGGGTTGGAGAATGAGAAACAACTGTGACTCCTGTGGCTTTTTGAGTTTTTTTTTCCTTTGCACTTATAATCTCCTCAAAGAAGGCAAGTGAGCAACTCTGATTGTTTTTCTTGTTTGGTGACAGTATTAGGGCTCGAATTCAGAAGTTCATGATCCCACTTGGATTTTTTTTAGTTTAAGGCTGGTTCTCTCTCTCTCTCTCTTGAGCCTAAGTTCCACTTCTGGCTTGTTGTTGATTAATTGAAGATGAGAATCTCATGGACTTTGTTTTTTGTCCCAGGCTGGCTTTGAACCTTGAGCCTCACATCTCAGCATGTGAGTAGTTAGAATTACAGTAGCATGAGCCACTAGGCCCTGGCAGCACTTTGGAGTTTTAGAAGAGAAGCACATTTCCAAAGACTTGGATGGAGAAAAGTGTTGACTTGAAAGCTTTTAGTTACTTATGAGTTTCCCTTCTTGAAATATTTTTGGTCCCCTGTGAGTGCTGACAATTGCGTTAGCCAGAAAAAATGAATTTCCCAAATATATGCCATCATTTTCTTCATCTTTTCATAATAGATAATCTCCTACTTTGGGTAAATTCACTAGCCATCAAGATCTGTCAACCTGGAAGATAATCACTACTATGACTCAACTACTCACACCAGAAAACATGTTTACATTAGAAACCACACACCATCTTCTTCCCAGTAACACTTAAGACCAATAACTATTTTTTCCCTCTTTCCAGAATGAAAACAATATAAAATCCTATTATGGATAAGCACATTGTTTGCGACAATCGTAGGCAAAAGTGAACCTGGGGAGGGTGGGAGGGAAGGAACAGGAAGTAATGTTTTTGCTCATTCTGAGCCTCGAATGAGTAATTTGTAGCTTAGAAACACGTATAAACCAGGCATATTTACTAGAAATTTGTTTCTTTACCCACAGAGCAGAATTCCATTGCTTGAAAGGTGAGATATGACTTATTCTGACACAGGGCATGTTTCTAGCATGCCCCACCAAGACAGTATTAAGTACAGTTTGAAAACATGTGCTCCCCTTTTCTGAGTTGAACTCACAGGCATCTTAACCAAATGGTTCTTTCCCTTCAAGAAAAGCTAACCATCCATGCCTCTCTTGCCATTTAGTTCTGTTTGCATGCTTTCAAAACATCTTCCTCTCCTCCTTTCAGCCACTCTTCTTGCCATCTTCCACTTTGCTCTTTCTTCCCCTGGCTCACTCATGATCACCCCGCACAAAGCCTCCTGGATGGAGTGAGGCCACTTCTCTTTACAGGGCAAGGGATGGGCCTCCTTTGGACGAGCGGGAAGCAAAGTTTCGTTTTTGTTTCAAACTTTTCCCCTGCAGGTGACCCCTGAGGAGTTCACAAATAACTCTGCAGGTGTGAACACATCCGTGAGGTACACGGATGTGTACTTCATCATCATGATGACAACTGCCTGGAAGCTGTAAGTCCGAGACCCTGGAGCCTGGTGCATGACCACATGATTAAACCTCAGCTCAGAAACCAGGACTGTATTTGCTGTCATGTTCATTCCAGTGTTTCTTCCTTGTTGACACACAGCATTTTCTAGGGTGAAGGGAAGGACACACATAAAGTCACCAAGTAGTGACCTGTGAGCTTGCCTCCTCCGAAGCTGTTATCTTAGGTCTAGAATAGGGGGTGAAATAAAATTACATCTAGAGTTATAGATGATACATGCAGGTGTCTAACCAGTTCTGAGTTTCCTCTTTGGGTATTAATGAAAATTTAAATATTTTAATTAACAAAAACTTCCCCCATGTTCCTATTGTAACTCTTAACCTCCTTTTAGATCATCCATTTCTAGGTAAGAGAATGCTTCTGTTTGTACATGTTTCAGTCCCAATTTAGGGACCAGAGGAGACCCACATTAGCTTCAATTCTTGTAACTGCAACTTGCGTTACATTACCCAGTTACTAAACTGAGTATTTTCTCTGTTTACCACCCACGTAAACCTTAGTTTGGACAATGTATTGAAACTCACTTTGTTTTTCTTTTTTCCTTGCTTGCTTGCTTCCTCCCTCCCTCCTTCCCTTCCCCTTTCTTTCTTTCTTTTCCTTCTTTCGTTCCTTCCTTCGTTCCTTTCTTTCTTTCTTTCTTTCTTTCTTTCTTTCTTTCTTTCTTTCTTTCTTTCTTTCTTTCTTTCTTTCTTTCTTTCTTTCTTTCTCTCTTTCTTTCTTTCTTTCTCTTTCTCTCTTTCTCCCCCCTCCCTCCCTCCCTCCCTCCCTCCCTCCCTCCCTCCCTTCCTTCCTTCCTTCCTTCCTTCCTTCCTTCCTTCCTTCCTTCCTTCCTTCCTTCCTTCCTTCCTTCCTTCTTTGCATATTAAAGATTGATGTGAGAGTGGAGGCAATTTCTTTGAACAGTAGATGCAGGACTATTGAAAGTATTCTTGTGTGCTCAGACTTTATGTGGAACCTCTTGTCCTGTGGACCAGGAGTCTTTACTAGTGGAGTGTTTGCTTCTCTTATTCCCTGTGCTTGGCAATCATGTTGGTGTTTCCATTATTACAAAGATGCTAGGTGTGACCTGGACTAGGATAGAAGCATATTCTAAGGCAGAGTTTCCATTTTGACACTTCATGGACTAAAGCCATGAAACACTAAATTCTGGTGTCCTATTGTTGACCTGTGGGAATCTTCCTGTGAAAGGCTAATTGACATGTTAAGGCAGTCCTGTCTTTAATATCCAAATAAATACTTAATGGCTATTGAATAATATTGAATATCTACTCAAATACATATTCAAACTACGGCTCTTGCTCTGAATGTTTTGTTCTGGGGATGTGGAGAGAATCACAGTGGGCAGCCTCTCATTGCAAGGCTGAAGGGAACAACCTCTTG